CTCAGGTCCATGGGTTGGAGGGAAAGGGCTGGGGCCCAAGGGTGGGTCAGAGTCTCTGAAGAATAATTGGGCAGGAGGAGCAAACCTCCTTGGGACTTTCACACCACCCAGCGCCATTTCTGGGCTCCCCTCCGAGGAGCTGCAGGTTTGGTTTCAGGCTCCCCTTGGCTCTGGGGTCCTGCGGGGAGTGGAGGAGAACTGATCTGCCTAAGTCAGTGGCAGGACTGCTGAGCACCGGTTCCCCAGAGCCCATGCTTCCAGCCCTGGCTGCTGCCCCACACTACCCCCCCCCCCCCCCCCCGCCACCAAGCCCAGGGTGGTCTGCAGCCCGGCCTTCCCCTCAGCCGCCCCCGCCTTCCCCACTGCCTGCAGTGAGCAACGGGGTGCTACAGCAGCTGTCCCCGGCCTCTGAGAGCAGCTCCAGCGTCTCCTCCTATGCCTCCAGTGCCCCCTACAGCTCAGCCGAGGGCTCGGGCTCCCTGCCCTCCGACCGCATGGATGTCTGCCTGGGGCCTGAGGAGCCGGGCGGTCGGGGGCCAGGCTGGGGGCGGGCGGACACAGCCATGCAGACGGAGCCCGATGTGGGGGGGCCGCGTGGAGACCTGGTGCAGCGTGAGGCCCACCGTCATCCTCAGGGACACAGCCATCCGCTCCGACGGGCCCCGGCCTGCCCGCCGCCTCGATTGTGCACTCTCGGAGTCCCCCAAGACTGCCCTGTTGCTGGCCCTGAGCCGACCCCGGCCCCCCATCACAAGATCCCAGAGCCACCTGACCTTGTGGGGTACGTAGGGGGATGGATGGCTGATGTTCTCTCCGAAACTCCCAGTCCCAAACCTGCCTCGCACCTTGTCCTGGGCCCCAAACCTCCCTTTGCCCCGGGCCTTGACCCAACCTCAGTTGCAGCCCCAGAATACACTTCGATGCTGCTCTGGGTACCATTTTAAACTGGTCCTGGACCCCAAGCCCCAGTTTGTTTTCCTGTCAATTTTGGGCCCCAAATCAGTCCTAACCCATCCTTTCCACCCTACACACACACACACACACACACACACACACACACACACAAACCAGCCCTCTTGGAGACTCCTCGAAGAACTGGAGCTGTGGGGTGGGGGAGGGTGGAAAGTTGGAGGAGGACACCCACCCCTACCTCCAGCACCACCTCTCCACAAAGCTGCAGGTCCTGTCTGCCCCCTACTCTCTCTCCTCTCTGTCCCTCCTCATACCCCTGCCCCTCGGCCTTCCCTTCTGCCCACCACTCCAGCCCCGCGGGCGCTCCCTCATGTCTGCAGAGGAGAAGAGGCAGAGGAAGAAGGAGAAGTTGGGGTCTCCTGGGGAGAAGGGAGCCCTGCAGCGCTCCAAGACACTGATGAACCTCTTCTTCAAGGGAGGGCGGCAGGGGCGGCTGGCAGGGGACGGGCACAGAGAGGCCTGGACGCTGGACAGAGGGACCCCGGCCAAGCCCTGCCCTCGCCTGGACCCGGAGAAAGGTAAGCACCATGCCGGTCAGATGAGATGGGGTGGACGCAACTGGGGCCCACGTTGGCATCCAGCAGCTCTGGGTTTAAATCCCACACTGCTTATTACGAGCTGGGAGTAACCACTGGCCCCTGTAAGCCTGTTTCCTTATGAGTAAAGTGAGTGATGATACCTATTTCTTTAGGAGTAGTGAGGAATAAGTGTATGGATGGATGTAAACCACTTAAGGACTTCGTCTGGCATATGGAAGGTGCTCAGAAAATGTAGTGGTTATTGTTATACTGTCTCGTCTCCCCACTTTCCAGAAAGGAAATCCGTTAGAGGCACAACATAGCAAGGAAGTTGAAGGGCTTGGGTCAGATCCCTGTGCCCTTGGTGCTGGGAGGGTAGGGGGCTCCTCTCCTTGAATACGTGGCTACATCTCCCCTGGCCAGGGCTCCACAGGCTCTACCCAGCTCTAGAACCATCCTTGAGCAAGGTCATTTCTAAATCAGGGCCCAAGCAGAAGGGCCTCGGCAGTTTCCACTATGTCAGGGGCTTCAAGGACCCTCAGAGAGGGCCTCTCGTCTCTCAGGTGAGGTTCAGAGACTGGACTGAGAGTGGAGGAGTTGAGACGCTTGGGGTTGTATGGGCCAGAAACTCAACTCAAATTAGGTTTAAAAAGCACTGCTTGGCTCAGCTACTGATGTAAGTGGGTCTAAAGATTTAAACACTCTCATCAGACATCTGCCCCCTTCATCTTTGGTTCCATTTTCCCCTGGGTTGGCTTCATTATCATGTAGGTTTTGCCCACTCAGAGTTAAGATGGCCCCTGTTGCTTAGCAACCCAGGGACAAGAAAGCTTCTTAAATACTTCCGGCTGAGGTCCTAGGTTCTCACTGACCCAGCGGGGACCACATGCCCAACAAATGGCTGTGGGGTGGGGTGGGGGGGGTGCTCTCATGGGCCAGCCTGTGTCTTGTGCCCACTCTGGAGTACATGCGCTGAGAATGGGGGTCCGCAGGTGAAATCGGGGTGCTGTTTCCAGAGGGAGAGTGGGTGTTGGGTAGGAGCTGGCCCTGCCCCTCCTGGGGGGCTAAAGTGAGAGTCTCACGGGAGAGACTCTTTAAATGAGGCCAGGCCAGCTTCCACCTCTTCAACCCATCTCTTTTTCCACAGCCCCCGGGGCCCTGCTCTCTCCTGATTCTCCTCCCATCCCTCTGGCCTCTCCTCTCTCTCCTCCAAAGGCTCTTCTTTTTTTCTCTGTCCCTTGAAGGTAGGTGCCCCCCCCAACCTTCCCTTCGGGGTTCTTCCCCCCATATATTTGCCTCTGAATGAGTCTCCACAGGCAGAGGTCAAGCTGTACCCTCTCTTGGTCCCAAACCTTCATGGACTTCCACTGCCTATGAATGAAGTCCCTAGTTGACCATGGCCCCAAGACCTTCATGGCCTGGCCTCTGGCCTCCCCATTCCACCTCCTCCCAGCCTGAGCTTTTCATCCCAGCCGGTGATCCAGCCGTCCCTGAGCCCCCCCAAGCCCCATTTGCAGATTGGGAGCCAGGGCCTTCAGCGTAACCCTTCTTCTCCACGACAGGGGCAGTGGGGCCCGTGCAGAAGTTTGTCACATGGAGACTGAGACGAGGTAATTCAGCATCCCTTTAGCAAGGCCTGGTGACAGACCTGCAGATGGGGTGCATATTGGGGGCTGTTAAGGAGCTTTGGGCTAAACTCAGTTGGGGCCAAGTATGGGGGACTGGGTGCGAATTGAGGGCAGCTAAAAGAATTGGACCAAGCTTACTCGGAAAGACAGGGCTGCAGACAGATGTTGGGGTATGTTTTTGAGGACTGGGGAGCTTGGTTGGGACTCCCAAAGACAGATTTTGGGGGCGGTGAGGGAGCCTGTGCTAGAACTCCAATGAGTACTCTGACAGTGCATGTTCGGGGGCCCGGAGGGCACTGGGCTAGGACACCATTAAGGAACAGACTAGTAAAGGGGTCTGTGATGGGGGCCATGGGGTCTGGACTGGTGCTCCACTGGTGGGCAGATTGCTATGGGAGGCCACGGAGGGGAGAGTCCGGGCTAGGCCGGGATGTTGTCAGGGGCACCTAGGCCTCTCATGGACCTGTTCTGGGGTCCGACCCAATTGAGAGAAGCCCCTACTTCCCCCTCGATGTCTCCTGGCTCCTTCATCATACACCTTCGTTCCTGCCCTACAGAGCGGGAGAGGGGCCGGGCCCTGCTCTCTGCCAGGTCTGGGAGCCCCTCTGGCCAGCTGCCTGATGTGGATGAGCGGGTGCAAGCCTGGGAGAGCCGACGGCCCCTAATTCAGGACCTGGCCCGACGGCTGCTGACTGACGACGAGGTGCTGGCAGTCACCCGCCACTGCTCCCGGGTGAGCTTCCAGCCTGCCCCCAACTCCAGCACACGGTCACCCAGCCCCTCGTTCATTCAGGCCACTGTCTCCGGCTATCTGGGATCGAGGCCGTGAGGTCAGTGGTCAGAAAATGCAGGAGTCACTCCTGTCACACACACACACACACACACACACACACACTGAGCTTACAGGCAGGAAGGGAAGTTACAATGACTAGAACCTAGACACCCATAGTGACAAATCATGTGAAGTACTGTGAAAGGAAAAAAACATGAGAATATAACCCAAGAGGTACAAATTAGGTCTAGGGGGGCCTCCTGGAGGAGGTGATATTTCAGCTGAGACGGAGCCAGACAGGTGATGAGTGGGGGCACACCGCAGTCACTGCCTTCCTCTTCCTCTCAACCCCAGCCTCCCCTTTCACATGACTCCCTCTGCACCTGGGTCAGCCGACAGGCCCAGCCTCATGCCGGACCTTCCAGGGGGATTGGTAGGCCCTCCCCTATCCCTCTGCCTCAAAGACCCCAGGTTTCCTGTGCTGGGGTCCCTGTGATGTGCCTGCATCAGTGCACGTGTGAGCCTGTGTGCAAGGACAAACTGAGGGGTTCCAGGGCATAGTTTGTGATCCCCAACCCCCCAAAGCTCTCTCACTCTGGTCAGGGTAGGGCTGACACAGTGTGACTGTGTGATGTGTACATTTGTGTGTCCGTGGGGTCCCTGGGTTTGTTTCACCCTAACTGTATGACGGATCTGTGTGTGAGCGTGTATGTGTCTGGCTAAGGCACGTGTGTGTCACGTGGAGACTGAGGCCCAGTAATTCCTGCGGCCCTTTACCAAGGTCTGGTTTACAGCAGAGCTGCAGATGGGGTGCGTGTTGGCGGGAAACTAAGGTTCTCTGGGCTAAACTCCGTAAGTGTCAGCCTGCTCCACTCTGAGCGCTAAGTGGGGTGGCGCGCCCCGGCCGCCGTGAGCTTGCAATTCTGGGCTCTGGCCATTAGGTGGCGTGATGTGTCCGTTTCTTTGGTCAGGTCCTTCTCCATCATCCCTCTGTTCCTCCCACCCTGTCCAAACCAGGACCACCTCTCACTGCACCCCCACAGCACCTGCACACCACCCAAACTTGACCCGCACGACACCCACACCAAGAGATCAGGCCCTCTGGGGTAGAGCTCTGGCCAGAATGATGAGTAAATCTCCCCCAGTGACTCAGATCACCGGGCCTCCCCTCTCTCTCCTCCTCTGAGCTGTCTCTCCACAGCCACCAGACCAGGCTTTATAAGTCACCTCTTTGATCACTTTACACTCCCCAAACCCCCTTGCAACCTCTTATCTTTGGCGGAATAGAGTTCCTTATGCTCACATTCAAGGCCTTCCCCGATTTGACTCCCCAACCACTAACCTCAGCTCTCCCATGGTCACCACATCACCACGTCGTTATCTTCTGTTGGTCACTACATAGGGGTGTACAGGTGATGAACTGCACAACTCCAGAGCACTACTCTGGGAGTCACGACGTGTGCGGCCTACACGGAGGCCCTTCATGTACCCCGTGGCTAAGTTAAACTTCTCCCTGCCCATTATGCCACGTCTCCCTTGGAGCGCCTTCCTCCCGACTTGCATGTTGTTCCCTGCATTCATCCTTAAGAGTAAGTGTAAATGGAAGCCAACAAACAAACCAAAAGGGCTCAGCGTCAATGCCGCCTCCTCCAAGAAGCCAACTCCGGTCTTGCCACCCTCCTCTGAGACTCCCTCTGCCTCATTGCCAGTGGTTTGGAAGTCACTGGGGCACGTGGCTCATCCTGCCCCTTGTTCCCACCACCAGACTGGCTTCTGAAGGAGCTGGAACAGGGTCATCTTCCTGGTGCCCCCACTGCCCAGTGCAGGGCCAGGCCCGTAGTAGGTGCTGAATGCAGGTTGGCGGATTTGAAGTGTGTATGTATGTGACTGGTTCTGTGCCATTGTATGTATCCCTCTCCCGACATGCGGGGTTGTATTTTTGATACGTGTTTGTCTGAGTCCCTGTAAGTCTGTGTGTGGTTTAGGGCCCCATAGCTGACAACTTACTTCCGGGTGTTTATGAACGTCTCATTCTGACCACCAGGGCTTGCTGTGTTGTGTCTCTGTCTATCCCTGTCCAGGATGCTGTGTGTGCGTCTCCCTGAATCAGTACGTGTCTCCCTTTCACCACCAGGGGGCAGTGTGCCATCCAAGCAGGGTGGCTCCCAGCGTTCGGTTTACCAGTTTGTCTGCGTTAGTGGGGTGTGGCTGGTGGCATCCGGGCAGTGCCAGGCAGAAGGGCCTCCCCCCAACCCCCCCACCCCCCGGGTACCGACTGGGTAGGCTTTCTGTCGAGCCGCCCCTTCCCTAAGGTCCCCATTCCAGCCCTGAACAAAGCCTAATTGGTAGGTCTATGTGCAGACATATGCTGGGCCTCCCAGGCCCGCGGCCTAGTGTTTGGCTCAAATTCCTTCCTTCTGCCTGGGAGGTGGGGGTGGGGAAGAGAGCCCGCTGCCTGCACATCCTTTTCCGGCACCAGAGCAGGCAAGGGCCAGACTTCTCAGGTTCCAGTCCCTCTTCACACTTCCTTACCTGTGTGGCTGTGGGCAAAGTCCTTGTCTCTGAGCCTCAGTTTCCGCACCGGTAAAACGAGGATAATTAATGTCATCTCTCAGGGTTGCTCAATGGGAGATCATATGTAAAAGGCTTAAAAAAGGGCTTGCTCCAAAGCTGTCATTGTCGTTGCTGCTATTATAGGTCTGTTATTATCGCAGGCTTCCACCTAGTCACCAACATAAGACCGTCCTGTGAACAGCCCGGGGTTGGGGAGAAGCCTTCCTAAACGTGGGGAACCCCACATGCCCAAGCAGTGCCCCCCCCCCCCCCCCGCGTTCCCCCCACCCCTGGCTCTGGATGGCCGTGCTGCTATCTGACCTCTGGGTCTCTCTCTGCAGTATGTGCACGAGGGCGGTGTAGAGGACCTGGTGAGGCCCCTGCTGGCCATTCTGGACAGGCCCGCAAAGTTGCTGCTACTGAGGGACATCAGGTGGGGCGGAGGGTGTGGGGAGGGCTGGGGGGCAGAAAGGGGCCCTCTAATAACTCCCCCTACCTCCAGAACTGTGCCCCTGCCCACCCCCTATCTCTTGCCCTCCCCAGGAGTGTGGTGGCCCCCACGGACCTGGGCCGCTTTGACAGCATGGTGATGCCCGTGGAGCTGGAGGCTTTTGAGGCCCTTAAGAGCCGGGCAGGTCAGCAGCTGGGTGGTGGGGAGAGGGTAGGACCTGTAGACCCTAAGCCCCGGGTGGGGATGGGAGTGGAGTCTCCCAGGGGAGAGGGGGCAGAGATGACCAGCTGTGTCCCCTGCTGGGCCCCCCGTCTCTGACCGGATCTCCTCTCCCACCAGTGTGGCCTCCTGCCTTGAGACCAGCCCAGCAAGACGCACCTCCCAAGCGTCACCTCATCACGCCCGTGCCTGGTCAGTCAAGCGTCCCAGAGCCTGGGGAGGGGGCACACAGCTGGGGTATTAGGGAAGGGAAAAGGGGCCTTCTGCCCCTGCCCCCCTGTAGGGTATCCAGGCTTCAGAAGTTTGTCTGGTTCCGTGAAGGAAGTCCCTTGTCCACCGGAACCATTTTTATTGTCTCTACTCACCACCCACACTATTATTCCCTTAATAATTGGTTTTAGACCCACTCACTTTTGAAATCTAGTCTCACTCTCTGCAATAATCTCCGAGAAATTGCCAGTGTGGTATGCGAGCAATATTTTTTCTACGACACATGTCGCGATGGAAAGTATGAAAATACTATTCCAACAGAACCCGGGCAGTGTCCCTCACTGTGGCAAAGCTGCCGCAGGGCCCAAGCAAACCCACGCCTGGGTCCCCCAGGCCCTACCCCAGCAAAGGCAAGGACTGGGGCCTGGCACCAGCAAGGCCAAGGAGGGGCAGCCTGCCTGACCTCGGCCCTCTTCCCCAGATAGCCGTGGAGGTTTCTATCTGCTGCCTGTGAACGGCTTCTCAGAGGAGGAAGATGGTGGGGAACTGAGGGAGCGGCTGGGGGGCCTCCAGCTCTCCCTGGGGGCCTCTGCTCCCCGCCACCCTCATAAAGGGATCCCCCCTCTCCAAGACGTGCCGGTAGATGCCTTCACCCCACACCGAAGCACCCGCACCCCCCCTCCGCAACCACCCCCCGTGGCTCCCAGGCCCCCAAGGCCTAACTGGCTGCTGACAGAACCCCCGACCCTGGAGGACCCGCGGCAGAGCCAGATCCAGGGCCCTGCCCGGAGCCGCAGCCGCAGCCGCAGCCGCAGCCGGGGCCGAGGCAAGTCCCCAGGACGTAGGCGCTCCCCGTCTCCAGCACCTATCTCCACCCAGAGCGTGGCCAACGGGCGCTACCACAAGCCTCGGAAGGCCAGGCCACCTCTGCCTCGACCTCTGGATGGGCAGGCAGACAAGGCGGGAGGCCACCAAGGCCCCTCTGAGAATGGAACTGGTGGGACAGCCGAGGAGACAGCCACGAAGGCCCCTGGTGGGGAGCTGAGGACAGTCACGTTGTCCAAGATGAAGCAGTCCTTGGGTGAGTCCAGGTGGGCCTGGGCCTGGCAGGTGGGGCTCTTGGGTTTGGTGGGGTCTGTGGGCTTGGTTTTGGGCTATAACTAGGGGGCTTGGGCTTAAGAAAAGATTGGGGTATGGGGGTAGATTGCAGAGGTGGGAGTAGAGGATTTTTGGAGTTGAGGACTGAGTAATAATAGAATATGGGGATTAGGGAGAAGTCCGGGCCCGGACTTGCTGTTGGGGTCCTGGGTTTCTCCTGTGAGCTCTGGGTGGAGGGGGGTGGCTGCGCGTTCACCCAGTGCTTCTCTCTCGCCAGGCATCAGCATTTCTGGGGGCATTGAGTCCAAGGTGCAGCCCATGGTGAAGATAGAAAAGATCTTCCCTGGGGGGGCTGCCTTCGTCAGTGGGGCCCTGCAGGTGGGTGAAGAGCACCCAGCCCCACTCCTGAGGCCCGGAGCTGAATTCTGGCGGGAGTGGGGCTAGAACATGCTCATCTTCCAGCCAGACAGGTTTAGACCAGGCCATGGGAGGAGGCTTGGGTGCATGGGGGTCAGGACTGCAAGATGACCAAGCCTAGGGAAAAATCTGTCCCCTTGCGCCAGCCTGGGCCTGAGGGTGGCCCATCCTGTTCCACCCCTAGCCCCAAGGGACAAAGGGCCATTGTCCGTGTCTCACCCTGCCCCCGACCGCTCCAGGCACAAAAGTCCCATTGTCCATCCCCTCCACCCAGATGGGGAGGAGTGTCCTCGCTGGTGGAGGTGAGAGGTTGGGTGTTGGGCTGACCTGAGAAGGGAGGGCTGTGATTTTCCCACTCCCATCCCAGGCTGGCTTCGAGCTTGTGGCAGTGGATGGAGAGAGCCTGGAGCAGGTGACCCACCAGCGAGCAGTAGATACCATCCGCCGAGCTTATCGAAACAAGGCTCGGGAGCCCATGGAGCTTGTGGTCAGGGTCCCTGGGCCCAGCCCACAACCCTTACCCCCCGAGTCGTCAGCCCTCACCGATCAGTGCCTTCCTGCTGACCATTCCCCTGCCTGCTGACCCCCTCCTGGTACTCATTCCTTCCCACTGCCTCCCAGAACCTCCCATAAATGCTCTTCCCACCAATTCCCAGATCCCTCCCACTGATGCCAGTCTCCTCCAGCGGACCGCCAGCCCAGTCCCTTCTCCGACCCCTCCGGACTCCTGACACTAACCCCAGACTCTCTCCACCTATGCCGGGACTCTTCCCACTGACCTCAGATCCTCCCGCTGCCTCCCAGGACCCTCCTGCTGTCTCCCAGACCTCCCCTCCTACCCTCCTCTCGGGATTCAGGAACCTCTCACTGCTCCTCGACTTGCCTCCTCCCAGAGCCCCACACTGCTGGCGCAGACCTCCCCACTTTCTTCCCTCCCCCACTGTCACTAAGGCTCTGCCCTTTCCAGATAAACTTGGTGTCAAGGACAAGGTGCTGCGGGGTAGGCTGTGTCACCCGCGCACTGCCCCCAACCTCCCACGACTGGGAGAGGTTGGGAGAAAGCCAAGGTCTGGAGCTTGGGATTGGCGGGCCCTTTCTCATGAGGCCTCCTTTAATGCCCCCAAGCACTGAGGAACATGGACTCTCAGGGCCCGGAGGGGGTCATTGCATCCGTCCCCCAGCCCCAAGCAGTGTTCTGTGCAAGGGACAGGATGGAAAGCTTTTCTAGTTTCTCAAATCCTGGGAGACCGTTTCATGTGGTGGTCCGCTAGGATCTCACACTTTCCACTGGATTTGTCCATCCCCCATCACCCTCTCTCTCCCCAAGACCTCCACGAGGGGTCAGAAAGAGGTGGGAGTCGGGGTCAAAGAAGTTCCCATCAACTCTCTCTAGCACACTTGTCTTTTTTTACAAACAGAAAAAATTTTAATTTGTTTCTTTGGGTTTGTACAAGAAATTTACAGTGTGGAAAAATACACAAGTGAAAACGAGGCCATAAACCTGGGTGTGGGGAGGGGCCACTTGGTCACAAACACAAATAAACAAGACGTTTCTGAGTTCTTCCTTTGGTCTGACTACAGCCCCTCACCCTGGGAGACAGGCTGCAGAGCTGGAACCTGGGGGTCAGACCCCAGTCCCAGCCCTGTCGCCCGACACGGGCAGGGTGGGGGCAGGCACATCTGGAGCAGCTGGCACTGTCTGGCTCTCTCTGGCTTCGGGGTAGGGGAGTGTGGAAACGAGGGAACCCCTTCTTCTTCCCAGCACTCCCCGTCCCCCCCACCCACCCCGGGCGTCTGGGATGAATGCGGTCGGCAGAGTGGCAATGGCGGCAGCTGGGGAGTGAAACGGGTCGAGTGAGCAGGAACCTCTGGGTGACAGTGAACACGGGGACCTTCGAGGAGTCTGATCTTGCTCATCCGAGTCACAGGGCAGCCCCAAGTTCTTGGCAGAGGCCCAGAGGCCTGGACCCCCGGGGTGGGGGGACGGGCGGCTCTGGGGCCCTCAGTGGCCCGGCGGCCCCCCCCCCCCCCCCCCCCCCCGCCCTTTGGCAAGGCTCCCCGCAGATCCGGGACGCCGAGGGCCCTAGATTTCGGTGGCGGTGATCTCCTCCAGGCAGATGCAGGGGGCCGGCTCGGCCAGGCCCAGGTCGGCGAGCTCCCGAGCCTCCAGCTCCAGGCTGAGCTGCTGCAGCTCCTGCTCCAGCTGCCGGTTGCGCCGGTACATCTGGATGTAGTTGTGCTGCAGCTGCTTCTGGTAGCGGATCACCTGCTCCTTCTCCGCCTGCCAGGCCAGCCGCTCGCCCTCGAAGCTGTCCCGCTGCTCCTCGCCCCGCCGCCGCTCCCGCTGCAGCTCTGCCCGTAGCCTCTCCACCTGGGCCCGCAGGCTGCCCCCGACCCCGGCCGCTGCCCGCTGCACCTTGGCCTCATCGCTCTCCGCCAGGAGGAAGGGGTCGGCGGTGGCAGGTGGCGCGGGGGGTTCCCGGAGTCCGGCGGCCTCGGTGTCCAACTGGCCGGCTTTCTCTCGCAGCCGCTCGGCCTCCTGGCGGTGCCGCTGCAGCTCCTGGGAACAGGCCTCCAGCTCCAGCTCCCGAGCCCGGGCCGCCTCCTGCAGGCCCCGCGCCCGGCCCTCACTGACCCGTAGTGCGGCTCGGGCTTCTCGCAGCGCCACCCGCAGCGCCACCAGCTCGCTGCCCTTCTGCACCAGCTCCGCCTGAGACTCCTTCAGTTGCTGCTTCAGCAGGGAGATCTCGCCTGACTTCTGGCACACCTGTTGAGGGGGGAGGAATGGAGAAGGATGGTGAGAAGAGTTCTCCCGGGGGGTCAGGCCCTGACATCACGCAGGGTATGTGGGGAGAGGCTCTCTGATCGTGACACCCGTAACACAGATGGGGACACCGAGGCAAGCTTAGTGATATGTCCAGAGCCATACAGCTGGTAAGTGGCTGAAGGGAAATACGGATCCAGATCTTTCTCCTTCAGAGCAGGTGTCTTTAAACCATCGTGAAGCACCACCGAGCCCTGGGGACAGGCTGGGGGCAGGCCGTGCAGGAGTGGGTGCGGTTGAGGGCAGTGCCCACATTTCCACAGGCAGGCACCGCGGTGTCTTGGTTAACAGCATAGACACTAGAGCCAGATGGCCTGAGTTCAAATCTCAGCCCTGCCACGGACTAGCTGTAATTCTGGGCTCCAGCCTTTCTGGGCCTCAGTTTCCTCAAACGGTGTTTGATGTTAACAACACCCAGCTGGCAGGGCTGTTATGAGGATTAGAAGATCCCCCCCATATGACATAGAACGGTGCCCGGCACATAGCAGCACTACGTTCTTATTCTTAACTGGTCGGGAGGCAACGGGTGGGAACACCACTGGCTGTGTGAGCCCCACGAGGGTGGCACAGGGAGACCCCCACCCAGAAAGGAAGGTCAGAGGGGGAGCTTCATCTCACAGAGGGGAGGGTCGGGGGGGGGGGGTCCTCTAGGAGTAGCAGGCCAGAGGGGGTGGGTATGGCTGGACTCCTTTTCCCAGCAGGCCCCGCTCCCTGCCCCTCCTGGTCTGGCCCACCTCCCACTTGGTCTCCTCGAGCCTCGGCCCGAGCTCCCGCTGCTCCCGCTCGAAGGTGGCGCAGCGCCGCTCCAGCTGCTCCCGTTCCTGCAGCAGCTGTGCAAAGTCGTCCTGCAGCTGCCGCTTCTCCTGCTGCAGCTGGAATACCTGCAGCTGCAGCAGCTGTTGGGCCCGCTGTGCCCGCTGTGCCCGGGCCGCACCGTCCTCCCGCAGGGCCTCGCGCTCCCGCGGCCAGTGCCGCTGCCGGTCCTCGTAAGCCTGGGGACGACAAGGCGGCCCTGGGTCCTGGCGGCTCCCCCCCCACCCCGGACCCCGAGCCCCGCCCGCCCACAACTCCCCGGTCACCGACTGCTCTGGCGGCCCAGTGGCTGGGCTCAGGGACGGCAGGCTCCGCTGCCCCGGGATAATGATCGCGACAATCATCACAACCACTTTTAGGACGCTAGAAACAATATCCATAATAGCAAGCGCTTCCGTAGGAGTTTCTAGGTGCCAGGCGTTTATTCTAAGCACTTTACAGCCTTTGCCTTACTTCATCCTCATGATAAATATCTCCATTTATAGATGAGGAAACCGAGGCTCAGTACCATTAAGTATCTTGCTCAAGTCTGAAAGACAGCAGACGGTGGTGCTGGCTTCGATTCCTTACCACTCTGCAGGTTACGCCGGACAGCTGGGCTGGGGACCGCCCCCCCCACCCAGCACAAACAGAAATGCTCCTCGGACTCCCCAGCACCTCTGGATGTCCTGCCATGCCACCCCCATTATCGCTGCTGACCACACCTGACACATGGTCACCTCACTCTCGTCCAGACTGTCCCGCAGCTGCTGCAGCTCTGCCTCACGGTCTCGGAGCTTTCCTTCCAGGACACAGTGCAGCAGGGCCTCATCCGAAGGGGGTGGCGGGGGTGGGGGCGGGGGCGGAGAGCGCTCCCCACAGGAGCCGCTGTCAGGGGAGGCCCGGGCACCGCTGCCCAAGAGCCCCCCAGCCACACGGCCTCCCAGGGAGCCTGTGCTCTTGCTGGAGGAAGACCGACCACTGTCCGAGTGGGAGGGCCCAGTAGGGGCCCCTCGGGCTGGACCCGGCAGTGCCCCCCGCCCAGGGCCATGGGAGGGCAGGTGCCCGCCTGGGGAGCCGTTGGCTGGCTCTGCACCCCCGGTGCTGTAGGTGGGCAGGCTGGACAGTGAATTTCGGCCGGAGTCAGACAGTGTCCCCGATGGGCAGCCACTGGCCCAGCCACTCAGTGCCAAGGGTTTGTCAGCAGCCGAGGAGGAGGAGGAAGAGGAGGACGAGGCAGGGCCCCCAAACAGCTGTGTTAGGCTGCCCTGGCTCCCAGACAGTCCGGCGGCCCGAGGACCCAGGAAGCTAGGTAGGGATGGTGCCCCTCGAGGTTTGGGCAGCACTGGCTTGAAGGCTGTTGGGCGGATCAGGATTTTCTCCATGTTCTGAAATGAGGTGCCATGGGACACTGGGGATCAGCTGCCCAATCTTTCAAAGCCCTTATCATACTCCCTGCCCTCCCATCTGGGGTCCCGATCCCCACATGTTAATAATAAATGCTACCACCGGCTGAGGGCCTCCTGATGTCCTCTACATCAAGCAATTTAAAAGGTTCATCTCTAATCATTACAAGTAAAATACATCAGTACATACAAGTAAAATATCATCAGTATCCCCATATTACAGATGAGGAAACGGAGGCTCAGCAAAGTCAAAGACCTCGTTCAACGTCAGACATGTAGTTGTTGTGCAGTAACAGTAATTTGAGCAGCTGACATTCATTGAGTACGTTATGTGACAGGTACTAGGCTAAACCCTTACGTACGTTATTTGAGCGAATGCTCACAACGATCACATGAGAGCTAACCTATTACCTCCATTTTACAGATGCAGAAACTTTGGCTCAGAAAGGTCAAGTGATTTTCCTAAGGTCATGCGGCTAGAAGGAGGCAGAGCTGGGATTAGAACCCAGGTCTGGTGAATCGGGAGCCCACATTCTTTCCTCTGAATCGACCCTCAAATTCCGGCTTCTTCAGGGGCTCCTGATTCCACCCAGGCCCCAAAGGAAGGGCTGGTCCTCACCTTCTCCAGCTTTCCAGAGACAGGGATGAGCTTGGGTGGGGGGCCGCGGAGATGGGCATTGCGTGCCCGCTGCTCTCGGGCATCCTCAAGGTCACTGCTCGGGCTGGGGGGTGACTCTGTCCGGAAGTCCTCGTTGATGTAGGTGAAGCTGGTACCAGGGACGGCCTTCCTAGGGGGCACAGCTGGGCACAGTGGCTCCTGTGCCTCATAGCCACCCCGTAGCAGGCCATCCTGCTGGCGGAAGAAGGTGGGCCCAGAGGGTCCGTGGTGGCGGGGAGGAGCTGGCCCCCCAGGGCAGGGCCGGCCTGAGATGAGGCTGCTCACGCTGCCCATGGCTGGAGGTTGTGGGGCAGTGGTGGCCTCAGGAGTGGGCTCCAGTGGCACTGGCAGAGTCTGCACAATGGCCATGGCGACAGGGGCTCAGGCCTGGCCAAGGGCCTCCAGGGGAACCTGTGAGCAGGGCAGGGGTGTAAGAGTCCCTTCACCTTGAGGTCCCTCCCTATCCGAGTCCCTGAGTCCCTCTCCTGACCCCGCGTCCCAGGACAAACAGCCCCCTGATTGCCCGCAACTTCCCCCTCCAAGCACTAGCATGAACCTGACTTCTTCCTGGGACCCAGGCCACTGCCCAACTCTGGTCTGAACAGGGCTAAGGACTGACTCTACAAGCAACGATGATGATGGGATGTGAGGCCTGGTGGTTACGCAGGGCCCTTAACAGCAGAGGCCCAGGCCCCAGCCTAAACCTGCATCCCTCACGGAGGCTAGGACTCAAGTTTAGGAGGGAGCTCTCTGCCAGCTCCCAGCACATGTTCCTGGTCCCCTAGGACAAGTGGCCTCATTAGAGGGCAGTTTGGGCACAGGCAACCTCAGGGACAGAGTCAGCAGCAACTCAGATGGCAATTAGGGAATAAAGAGCCAAGGCCAGGCAGTGCCCAGCCTCCCCCAGCTGGGCCTCAGTTTCTCCCAGACAGAGAGGCAGCAAGGGTGGAGCTGACCAAACAAGAAACCCAGAGCTTTTAGGGAGCCCACAGGTGCCCTCTGGGGTCTCCCGCCTTCCAGAGGTGGATACAGGCTCATGCGTGTTTCTATGACAATTCCTGGCCTCACCATACCCAATCAATCAGGCCTAAAGGAGCCTACACAGGCATGCCACCAACCTCTAAGAAACCATGCGGCTTTAGACATTCCCCAGAGTAACCCGGAGGGGATGAGGGTAGAAGCCCCACCATCACCTTTGGCAGCTGCACTAAGATCTCATTTCCCTGGAACCCAGGGAAGAGGGCTCCACCTCCCCAGGCTCTGCTCCTTCCTGGAAGCCGACAGCAAGTCTCCGCCCGGAACTCCCTCCCCAGTCCTGAGGCCGAAGACCAGGACTCAGGCATCTGCTGAAATCATCATGCAGAGCGGGGGCCAAGAAGCGGACAGAATCGAGTCGGAACAGGAGTGTGCGTTTGTACTCTTCGGTCTGTGTCGGGCTGTGCACAGGCGCATGGAAATGAACTTACTTCACGTGTATGTGAAAATGTGTGAAAACGCGAGTGCATCTGAGTGTATGTATGTTTGACTAGAGGTATGAGTACATTCATATATTCGTATGTGTGAGTTCATAAGTGCACGACTATGTGCGTGCCTCCGGATCACTCTTAGGAAATACGTAAAAGTGGTAACTGCATATGTAGTAAGTACATTTGTGCTGTATGAACGTGACTGAGAGAAGAGAACATCTTTGGATAGATGTCCATTCACATGTACGTGAGTTTACGTGGAAACTGCATACGAACAGGGAAGTGAGTGTGCACAAGCGGGTGCCGAGCAGTGTGTGCACAGAGCATGTGTGAGAGTGGCTGGGAGCCTGGGTGGCAAGCAGGGCCACCTAGGTGAGCAGGAGCCCGGTTTCTGTCACTCATTCGAGTGTGGGGAAAGGACAGACACATTATCTGACTCCTTTGCCGGGTCCGTTCCCCTTCTTTCTTGCTTGTATCGCACGAGGCTCCCCCTCCACTCCCCACTCAAGTCAGGAGACCATGAGAACCGGGAAGGTATCCAGACTGAGCCTGGAAGCGGGGGTGGGGGGGGGTGGGGGTGCGCTGAGCCCATCGGCAAGTGCCAGCCCCGAGCCAGGCAGCCGGGGCACCGCCTCTCTGCCCTCTCCTCCACCACTCCGGGGCATGGAGAAAGCTGTGGGGTTAGGGGTTTCTTAGGGGGCAGTGGAGGCTGGCACCTCTGTCTGCATTTGCCCACTTCAGTGAGCACTGAGAAAGTGAGAAGTAAGGGGAGGAGACAGGCGGACTCAGAGAAAGACAGGGGCCCAAACGACCAGAGACAAAGACTCAAGAGAGATCCCAGGGTCAGGCAGACAGGGAGACAGGCTGAACCAGTGAGCCCAGGGGCCTGAACCCCACAGAGCCAGGGGCCCCTAAACCCAGAAGAGACATGAAAGCTGGGCCCCGAGAGCCAGACGCCCAAGGAGCCAGAGCCAGGCCTCTGGAAAGCCAGGCCCAGCCAGCCGGGCTCCAAGAGCGGGAGCCCGAGAGAGGAGGGGCAAGTGGAGGCTCCATTTTGAGAAACGCGTTGTGTCTGTGGGAAAGGGAACCCCTGGCTCTCCCACCACTCCTTGAGTAATCACTCTGGCACAGCGCACGCACACCCCCTTCGTGGGCCGGGGGCAGCCGGGTGCTGGCTTCGGCCAGGGCCCCGGGCAGGTCTGGCTAAGCCCAACTCCCGCAGACCTGTTCTGGGGGCTGAAGAGTTGGGGAAAGTCTCCCCCCACCAAACTCCAAGGACTAGTCAAGCGGGATCGAGTCTGGGATCACGAGTTCGCATTCCGCGATAGGAAGCCGGGAGCCCCCAACCCACCCTCCAGGGCCCCCCCGACACCCCCCCCCTCCCCGCCTCTATTAAGTGCGGGCGGCTGGGGGACGCCTCCTCCCCACCCGCCCACCGCCGCGCACAAGTTGGGGGCGCCCCCGGGTCGCCTCCCAGCCCGGCCCCCCCTCCCCCTCACCTCCGCCGCGCCGCTCCATGCTCAGCCCCGGGCCGCCCCCAGCGCTCCACAGGCGCGCCGCCCGGCTCCAGCCCGCGCGCGGCCACTCGG